GGTTTTGAAAAAAAAAAAAAAAAAAAAAAAAAAAAAAAATCTTCCAACCTAGAAATGAAGGTAAGCAGTGGCAAGAGGGATCGAACCATGCAGCAGCACAGGGAGCTTCACCTGCTACATCCATCCATGTGCAACACGCAGAGCCACCATCCACGCATGGGCTGGTGCTGGGCTCATGTGGGAGCAGTGCTTCATCTTCCTGGGAGACTGTCAATCCGCTGTCTAATAAATCTCATGGAAAGCAGCTAAATAACAGGGCTCCCTGGAGCTACAGAAGGAAATTATTTAATTGCCTTTTTTAATAGAGAAAGGGGTTGCTCGCATGCTGCAACTAGATGTTATTAATAGCCTGATTTGTACTGGAAAAAGCTTCTTAAAATGCAAGTGTGTTGCCAGAGGCTCTGCAGAGACTCCATGGAGCATCGTTTTGTTTTGACATGTCAACAGTGGTGTTAACTGAGTGCGAGCCAGGAAAATAGTAAAACTTCCATGTAAATGAATGGGTCTGTCTAAGACTTAAGAATCTTCAGCAGCAAGTCAGAGTAGTGCCAAGGGTGAGGACTTACTTAGACTTCAGAAACCAGCCTATTCCTTTAAGGCCATGCAGGTAAAGGTGGTTTTTTTTTGTTTGTTTGTCTTGCTTAGCAAATAAATTCACAAAAAAATGCATTTTGACAGAGCAACAAGGATACTGAGAATGTGACAAATACTTTCACAGTATTGTAATGGTTTATTTTCTGCATCCTGAAAATGTTTAGTCATGGTAGTCTCAAAACACCAAAGACTTCTTGGTTTCTCCCCCAAATTTCAGCAAAGCCTGAACCTCCTGGGGAGCAGTTCGCTGAATACAGACCTGTAGCCTTGGCCAGACAAAGCCCTGGCCTTGCTTCTAGGTATTTCTTATGCTGGACATTCACATTAAAACGTATTTCTGGCTTTGTGCGTCAGGGAAGTGTGGGGCATCTGAAGCCCAGCTGGCTGCTGAGCAGCAGCCCCACAACCAGTCTCCCATCACACCTCTGGCACTGGTTTCTGGCTCTGGTTTTGTTTTAGCTTGCGTGTTATTCCCAGCTCTGGCTATTGCTGTGGCTAGTGGAAGGAAGGAAGCAGTTTGGTGCTGCGATGCTGGGAAGGAAACCTGCTGCTGTGCAGACACTGAACGCGAGTGACTAAGGCTTTCGGCGGGAGCAGTCATCCTCCGAAGCCTGTTCCCTTCTGCCAAGTCCTGATGAGCTGTGAGTGTGAGTTTTGCAAGTTGGCAAGAGAAAAAGGAAAGTGATAAAGCATGAGAAAACACCTCAGCAAAGTACTTCCTACCAGTTTCTGAGTGGTTACTGAGGGTACTTGGAAATATATACGGACTTAAAAGCAAAGGATTCTCCTTTGGGCTCGGCGTAAAGGAGGAAGAAGAGCAGACACTGTGCTTGTTTCCCTCTACATGCAGGTAACTTTCCATGCTCTCGTTTCTTGTCCTGCGGCACTGGTGCCCCTCCTGTACCCCATACTGGAGGTCCCAGTGCTCCTGCAGCCACCCCACGGTCACTGGGCTGTGCTTTCAATGGTTGTTACACTAATTTTCAGGATGACTTGCCTGGTTGCCTTTAAGCTGGGTTATGTTTGGGGAAGGGCAAACCCCTCCAGAGGATGCTCCCCCCCTTGTACCGTTGTTTTGCTTCTAGCAGATGTGTTCTATCTTCCCGGCTGTGTGCCGCTTTCCCTGAGCGCAGCTGTTGAACTGCTGCTCACACGAGGCTCTTGGCCAGCAGCGTGTGGCTCTGTCCGTGCTTCACCACCAGCCACCTGCTCTGGGAAGCTGCTGCCTGCCCCTGGTCCGCATCTGCGGAGCTCTGGTTACTCAGACGAGGCTGGAGGCCAAAGCGGGAGATGTTTCCTGCTTGGGGTTAATGACTCTTCCAGCTGCGGCGATGGAGGCTGTGCGTGTGCAAGGGCTGCATCACTGGTCCGTCCCACGCCGGTGGGAGACGGGCCGGCTGCGTCGCCGGCTGTGCGCAGGGACAGACGGAGGGGGAGGCATGGCACCAGCTTGGGTTGGGTCTTCCCGGCACCGGTGGCCAGCAGAAGTGAGTCACCCCTCTGGGGAAGGCAGGGAGGTGGACACAGGGGCGGCCAGCTCTTGCTTCTGCCTTGCTGCATCCTCTTGCCTTCCCAGGTATGAGGGATCTATTGCAACCCTGGACTAAATAACAGCTGCTGGCAGGGATGCTGGAGCCGAGCTACCAACTGGAGCCCTTTGCACAGCAGTCAGCTGGCTTATTTGCACTGTTTTTCCCTCTCGGTGTCCCCTGCAGGTGAACTTTTCCCATGTCTTTAAACCTTGACCATGGTGGCTTCTGTGCTGCTGCATCATCTGGCAGCATCCCAGTGGAGGGTTCCGGTTGCTAATTACAATCACGCAGCCTTCCCCGCCAGCATCTTGTGGCTCTTTGAGCTTTGCTGCTGTGACAGCTATGTACAAACCCCCAAGAAGGATCATCTGAAGGTTGAAATTTCCTGACCTATGCATGGATTTGGTGCCTTGGGAATGAGGTGATGGGAAACCTTAGATTTAGCGAAGCATGGCTGCTCAGAGCCAACCCCGGGGCTTTGCTGGGGCAATAACTGGGTTGATGCAACTTTGCTATAACCAGCCACAAAACTGGTTTGACCTTTCTGCTCGAAAGAGGTCAGTGCTTCTAATGCAGATTATTTTGCTTCTTCCAAGAGGTGAAGGCTAAATGTCAGGTTTGATGAATGGGCGACCTTTCATGGGGGTGGAGGGAAACTCCCATGCACGCTCCACCCCGCGCACTGACGTCACTTCCATTATGGGGCTGAGTAACGTTTTCCAAGAAGTCAGAGATGGTAGGTTGAAGCAGTGCCACCATCCATGTGGGAATTGCATCTGGCACAGACTTATTACAACACTGGTGACCAAATAATGTCTTGCTTTTTTTTAACTGAGAACTGGAGAAAGCAAAAGGCATGATGAGGGTGGGAGGAGACCTCTCCTAGGGTGACTGGTTGCCATCAGCACCTGCTTTCCCCATCCTGCCTCATGATGCTGGAGGTGTCCCCATGCATGGTCCTGGGAAGGTGTGGTAGAGCAGGGACCAAGACAAAGCACTGGGGCAGTATTAAATGGTGCGTCAGGATGTCTGTATGGCAGGGAGGAGGTTTGCTGAGGTCTCCACAAGGGTCTTCACCCAAAAGCAGCCCTGATGCTTGCTGGAGAGAGATGCCCTGCATGACCAACAGAGCAGCTTCCAGTTTGGGAGCTCAGCGGGTGTTTTGCCATGGCCCAGTATGCAGTGGCTGTTGGCACTCCTGGAATCCAGCCCTTCAGGAAGGCGAGCCTGCTCGGGGCTCTCTGCGCCCTACTTCCCCCTATGGAACTCAAAACCTGGTGGAACAGAGGCGGATGCTCGGGAGGGTGCTTGGGAGCTGGCCTGAGCAGGTTTCTGCCAAGCATGGGTGAGTCTCAGGCTTATCCCAGATCCAGAAGCTCCACTGCGCGCTGCTTTCCCGGGGGGACATCCGCAAGTGCTGCTCTTGGCTGTTCGCTCCTGACGTGACCCTTGGTGGTAGCTGCAGCGCTGTCCTGCAGCGCAGCACTCAAGGAGAATAAACCCTCTGGCTGGAGGCACGTTTTGTGAGCTGACTGGCCGTGGGACACAGTTTGCATCCACAGCTCTCCTTGCTTTGGCCCTATGTTGTGGCACCTTCATCGCTGAGGGCTGTGAGTCTCTGCTGAACAGTGGAGCGACCCATGGGGACAAGCCAACTTACCACCCTGTTGCTAATACAGGTTAGCCAGGCCTTGAGAAGCTCAAGGAAGGCTAAGCACCTAAATAAAACCTTTTCCTAGCTCTGTCTCAACACTGTTAGCCTGGTGCCGGTGTGGTGCTTCTCATCCACGAGCAGAGCTGCTGGAAGAACAAAGAAAAGCTCCACATACTCAGTGCTGCGGTGATCCCATTGACTTTGAGCGTGCATGCTCTGTTGCAGGAGGACCCATGTTTATAGCAGCCATTCAGTTCTGCTTTATGCCATCCCATGCAAGCCAGTGGGTCTCACGCTGCTGCACGCTTGGCAGGCTGAATTGTGAAATTTAAATTTATAGGAAAATATTACTGAGGTTAAAGGAACGAGCTGAGCACCTCCTGCTGTCTTTCCTTCCTGTGCCCTTGCCCTCGCCGAGGGTGGCCGCTGCGTTCACCAGTGCGTTCCTCCGGCTCCCTTAGCAACCCGCCAGCGCACGGAGGGTGGCCGGGGTGTTGCGATATCTCCCCACGGTTCCGCGGTGAGGAGGTGGTGTGGGAACCAGACAAGTGGTACCCGAGCTGGCAGGCTATTTCAAGGTCACCCCACCCCGGGCATGGTGCTTACGTCTCGCCAAGGGGCTGGAGCGAGCCGGGACCAGGGCGTGCAGTCGGACACTCTCCTTTGACTCATCGACCTTGATGTTTTGAGCTGTCTCGGACTGTGTCCTGTCTGTCTTTTTAATTGCAGGTGGCTCCATGTCCCAGCTCCAGAGCTCCTGGGAAGTGCACCAGCAGAGCATGGCATATCTTCCAGATACAGGTAAGTGATAACCCTCCTCCGCACAGAGGATGTTGTCCTTGGGGTTGTGTCTGTCTTTTCCTGGGGGCTTTCTCCAAGCAGTATAGGTGACTAGGACTGTTGGCTGTGCTAAGTTTCAGGTGAAGTACAGGTGAGACCAAGATCAGAGAAAACTCCAAGCTCCTGGAGTTGCTTTGGGAGCTATACGTCCCCAGGTCCTCCAGGGACATTACTTGCTGGCCGAAGGGCCTTTGGGCTTTGTGTGCAAGCTCTGCAGAGCTGCTCTACCCTGGCAGGGGATCAAGAGGAGTCCAGGCTTTACTGGGATCAAGCAATAGCAGGCTGGTAGACTTAGAGTGAGACTTAAATTGTAGGGTTGTCCTCTTGCTTTTTTCTGAATTCACTTTTGCTCCAGACTCACTGTCTGGAGTTACTGAGTGACTGATAAAGAGTATTTTACACAGGACAATTCCAGCACCAGCTAAAAGCCTTTTGAAAACAGACTAGAGACAGTGCAGCATGCTGCAGCTATCTGCAGTGCCTCTTGAGAAAACATTTAGCCATACTTAAAACAAACAAACAAAAAAGGCTTGTTTGAAGCTCTTGAATCAACTTAAAATTTCTCATCCTGAGATGTGCAGAAGGGGTAACTCTGCCCTGTGTACGGGGAGACTGAGGCACGGGAGCTGCTGAGAACTCACAGGGTAAGCTGAGCTACAAACACAGCCTGTTCTACTGAGCTACTGGATGGTGCCATCTGAAACTGCAGTCTCAGTGTGGTCTTTACCAAGATTTTGCACTGTGAAAACTTCTAACCTTTATTTTCCCAGTGCTTTTAGATACTTGGTCTTTCTAATAGCAGACAGACTTCTACCAGTGGATATTGTAAGCCAGGGAAAGTCTATTAAAAGCTTCATTTTAATATTCATTTCAGCGATCTGCGTTGGGAGTACTATTTCCTCCCTCCCTTGTTTACATCCCTGTTGAAGATTTTTTTTTTAAAACAACGTTCACTTGACTTGTATTTGGGATTTTTCTCACTTACGGGAGCTGGCATGAGTGTGCTGGTGCCGCTTCCTGTCAGTGCACAAGGGAAATTCTGCACCAGCGTACGGGCGGCATGACCTCTTTCCCTGTGGTTTCACAGCATCGATCTGGGTGAATTCTGGTCCCTTCAAGGCTTTCTGAAAACAAATGCGAAGGAGTGAGAGGGAGAAAAACAATCTGGGTTTGGGGTGGGCTATAGGAGTTCTTCCACTGAAGCACAGCAAACTACTGTGAGCATGGTCTGTGCTGTGTTTAAGGTTGGGGTATGGGAAGGGGGCATCAGTCCTGGTTTTACTGGGTAGATGAGCAAATGTGTACGTTTACTAAAAACTGGCTAGAACCTGCTTTTTGGTGGTGTTGGTGCACAGAGCCAAAGGGAACAGAGAAGTTTCTCTTGCCAAACAGTGTTGAAGCCAAGGAAAAAGCCTTTTATTTGCATCCAATTTGCTCTTTGTAAAGCTGTGACAGCTTTACAAAATAAATACCTGGCTTTCTCTGCTCTCCCAGACATGGAGACCATGGCTGCTAGCACATCGCTTTCTGACCCAGCTGGCGAGTTTGACAGGAACGTGCCCCGTATCTGTGGTGTCTGTGGAGACAGAGCCACTGGCTTTCACTTCAATGCCATGACCTGTGAAGGCTGCAAGGGCTTCTTCAGGTGAGTGAGGGTCTTTGGGGAGGAGGAATCTTACCAGCAAGCCTGGAGGAGCAGGTGGTCTGATCAGCAGGGTGCTGCCTGGCTGCTCTTCCAGTTACCTGCATCCCTGCAAAGCTGGGCTGCAGACAGCCTTGCCAGACCTGTGCCTGCATTGCAGACAGCTGACATGCCTGCAAATCTTGATAATGGAGAGATCACAAACTATTTCCCTTCTTGTGGCTTGCTGTGGCACCCTGCTACTGGGAAATATGTTGTTTTCCCCTTAGCCAGAGACTTCCATCTGTCTGGGAGCCTTGCAGACCTCCACGTGCTGTATAGGCAGGGGTGTAAGAGGCTCTAGCACACTATGGATGGCACCTGGGAAAATACACCAGAAACTAGCCATCTTTGAAACTAAACTGGTATGATGGCCACAAACTTCTATTCTTTAAAGCAAGCTGCCTCTAATGTCTGCTCTGAAGCTCTGTGCACTTGTGTATGAGCATGGGGTCCTCTGCCCACCTGCTGGAGTGGGCACCAAGCTCTTTCCAAAATCAGGCAGTCTTTCAGTCACCACTCTGGCTCTTGGGGGTTTAAAGTAGCCGTAGGCTGTATATGCAGCTGTTTTGAGGCTTTTTTCCAGTGTCAGGTGGGAGTCTTGAGCGGTGTCAAGCTGACCCTCAGCAAGGCAGAAACAGCTCTGAAAGCTGCTGGGGTCTCTGAGTCTGGGGAGGTTTGTGGATATTTGTTAGCAGCTCGGTTTTACCCCTGTGTCTGTCAAGGCGATGCTCCCATACAGATGGTGCTGAACAATTCACGTGGGAGTTCAGATCGCTTGCACCAAGTGAGAGAATGACTAAGCGCTGGTGAAATGAAACAAGATAATGACTGGCAAGGGACTGGCTGGGAAAAGCCTTGCTTAAGTATTTTGCACTGTAATGAGATGGTGGCACAGGTGGCTGTGGGATTGCAAACACTGGAGTGCACAGCTTTACACCTTGAGCTGGGCTGTTACAGCAACCAGAGCTTGAACTTTCACAGCAAAGTCATAACTCCTCCTCTTGCAGGAATTTCAGGGCTAGATGGGGGTTTTCACATACCACAGTCTTGCAGTCTGTTTTTGAACAGGGCAGATTTGAAGCCTGGCCAACCTGAGCAACAACATTTTCCTCAATTACTACCACTAAATGAGTAATTCTCAGGTGCTCTCTTCTGCACTCTGGTCTGGTGTCCCTGACCTTACCATCCCCATTGTATGCAGAGGCAATGGTCTGGTTTTGACCTCTGAAATGGCCAGTGCTGCTTGACGAACCCTTCCTGGGTGTGATGTGGCTCTTGCACTAATGTTGTGAGCCCTGCTGCTGCACTTCCCCATCTCTATTGTCGCACTGTTGTAATCATGCAAGACGTACAACTGTGACAGTATTTCTGAACAGACATCTTAATGACATGAAAAGCTTTCATCTTCAGCTAGCCCTTCATGCCCCATATAAAGCCTTTATTTTCAATTTAAGGCTTTTACTACTTTTTTTGATCTTGCTTTCCAGGCACGCTCTCCCCAAGCTAGGTCTTGGTGTATTCCCTCTGGCTTACACAGGCTTGTTTACATGCCATTTTCCATCACTGAATTAATGCTTGCAGCTGCCACAGTGTCGAAGTGCCTTCTGCATTAAAATATAGCAGCACTGCCATGGAAGAGCCTGGACCCCTAAAACTCTCCTAGAAAAGCTGTGCATCCCTCTGCCAGCACCTTGGGTTTTATAACAGGCTGTGCTTGCGTGCACTTGCTGTTGTTCAACTTTTGCTGGTATCAGTTTAGAGTGGCTGATCACACTTACCTGGGACGTCAGACTCGCAGCCTTGGCTGGAAGGGGCTAAAAGGGGTTGAGTAGCTGTGAATATCGAACTGCAGCAGCAAAATCTTGGGAAGGTTTCACAGCTTTTGCTGAGTGTGCTCAGGCTGTAGACGTGACTTTGCCTCCTCTGTGGGCTGGACTGAGACTGGTTCCTGCGTACTCAGGACCTTGTGCACCGTCGCAGAGGGATGCGGCAAAGTGCAGCCTGAGCCTTGCCTCGCCGGGGTGACAGCAGAACTGCTGGAAGATCTCCAGGTGGATCTCACCTGCCTTGGGGATGTACTGTGTGACATGATTCCCCAGTGTGAAGTCCCCCAGGAGGTCCTGGGTTTAATGACTCTATAAATGGCATTAGGAGTTTATTGGCACCTCTGGGTGCTCAAACGTGTGTGTAACCTGCAGCACAAACAGACATGAGGCAACCTTTGGCCGCTGGCTTCAAAGTCTGCTGTTTAATAATGATGCCAACGGCAACAGTAGCCTTTTATTGAGCTCTACTGTTTGCTCAGGAGCTCTTAAAAAGCAGCTAAGCCAGAGTGATTTATTCTGCTGTGACTTGGCTGAAGCATCCGTGGATTCTCTAGTTTCTTCTACAGTCCTAGTTTTCCCCTGGTGCAATGACACTGGGCATTGATAGCAGAGCTGCTTGGAAAAAGGTTCTGGGTATTTCAAAACCTACAAAGTCCCCACCCATCCTGTCTGCATCACTGCATCCCCCACTCCTGTAATCCTTCCTCCCCAGTTCTTTGCCATGTTCTACATGAAACTTTTAAAATAAATCCATCCCCTCTTCCTCCTTCCCCAGGGGTCTCAAGATATTTCAAGGCAAAGTGCAGTTGTCTGGAGCGTTCCTGGGCTCAGAAGTGGGGGATGGAGCTGGCAGGATTTGGGGGAGAAAATGCAAACAGATGCAAAATGGGTGTCGGAGAGCTGCAGCTCCGCTCCTGCTGTTGACTTGACTGTTGGAGTACCGAGGGGCTTCCCTGGAGGGCTGTGTAGGTGTAATGGGGGAGAAACAGGGGATTATCCTACCCCAAGTGGTTTGTGATGGTTTTGAGAGGTGGTTCTGCTGCAGCCTGGGTGCCAAAATGACTCCTCGCCTATTAGCCTGGTGGTGGGTGACAGAAAGGCTGTGCCAGGAAGGCCACTGCGGGGTTTGGTTATGAGTAGCGTAGCTGTCAGGAAATGTTATCTCACAGGTTCTGCAAATGTGGGAGTTTTGTGTGTATTGAAAGCCCAGTTTGCTAATAAAAAAAACTCAGAAAGAGTTACTTTGAAGATCAGCCCTGTCTGGTAAAGGGGAAGGACAGAGCACAGCACTAATACCTGCCACATGATGCAGGTCTGGACCAGGCTTTGCCCTCCCTCTGGTGGGGGCTGTCAGGGCTGCTATTCACCATCTGGCTTTTAGGTAACTCCACATTTCTGATAACCTAAAAGCCATTTCATAGAGGCACTGGGGTTTGCTTTCTCCCCAGTGCACTAGGTAGGACTGTCAGGCATATATCTACCAAAAACCAAGCACAAAGCTCAACCTTTGCAGTCAGGGGGTGGTTAACGATCAGGTTTCCTGACTTGTGGAGCTGGAGTTAGGCAAATCGCAGTCCTCGCTGTGGCTGGAGTGCTCTCCAGATCTGTTGCATGAAATAAAGCCAGATGGGCATTTTCTGTCCTTGTGGGATGGGCACCCCGCAAGCACCGGTGAGCGATGGACATCACCCCTCCGTGCACAGCAGCCTGTCCTTTGCCATACTGCATTTGCAGGCAGTGAGTCATGTTGGAGAGCATCCCTGGGAATGCTGTCCCTATTTCTCCCACCAGGTACGGCCACCCCGACCTCGGAGCACATCACTCCCTGCTCGGCAAACCCCAGCTTCCCTTGCTGTGGCCGTGTTTACTCTCACCCGCGGGCTGGCTTTGCGCAGGGAGGGATCTCGTTATTTTTAACATTCGGCAGCCTGCCTGGGACACAGATCTTAAACGAGCCTTGAAATGGCTAGTTCTCGGGCTTTATAAAAATACACCGGAGCCAGACGGCGTGAGCTCCCAGTGTGGGACGGCCGGCTGCTCCTCTGTGCTGCTGGTGTAACTCGCGGCCCCTCGTAGCTGAGAGCCGTGGACCCTTGGGGCAGAGAAGTGGCTGCTTAGAAAAACCCTCTGTTGTGCCCAGCCACCCTGTATTCGAATAAACTGCAATTTTCATACCAAACCCGTAATGTTGGCTTGCCCTTGCACACAGGACATCTTTCCCTGCCCGAGGGCCTCGTGTTTCTCTGGCTTGTTTCTGCATTCCCCAGCCTTGCCGTGGGCTACGGGGGAAAAGGCGAGCCGCCTGCCTGCCCCAGATGCTCAAAAACAGAGGCGCTCACCGAAACTGGGAGATGTTGGGGTGTCTGGTTTCAAATCCTGATTTGCCCCTGAGCTGGGCCACATTTGTCCCCGTTTCTGGGACAGCAAAGGTCCTGCTGGTCTTGGGGGAAGGGGAAAACCCAAAGAAAAGCGACAAACTGAAAGCCGGCTGCTGGGTGAAACAGGAATTTCTTAGTGTAAGGCAGGTTGTGGAGGGCTCTGCCATCCGCCTCTCCTGTATTAATTTTCCTAAATGCATTTATTCATGTTAGGTGAAGGGAGAGTAAAGCCTCTTTGTTTACATCTCCCTTTCTAAAATAGCCTCTAATTGCATGCTACGTGCTGCTCGGGTCTGCAGCCCAAGAACATATTTTATATTTATACCCTATAAGCGCAGGCTTGGCGCCATTCCTGGGCTGGAGGGGCCCCCCTGCCATCGCCCTCTCAGCCTGCAGCCACCCAATTTGGTACATCCACATTGTTTGCCCGCAGAGCGCAGGGGTCGTGCACCATCAGCTCAGCATCGTGGAGGGATTTTATTGCTAGAAGAGCAACTCTTTCTAGCAGGAAACTCTCCATCCCAGTGCTGAAATACATCATTAACTTGGTGGCAGATTTCTTACTGTTGTACCTGAACTGTATCTCGGTTTTGCTTCTCTGCTCCATTTACGCCTCTGAACATCCTCACTTTGACTTTCCAGCCTGGAGGCGCCCTGGGTTTGGTTTACCTCCATTCAAAATCACCTCTTCATTTAAAGTGAGCAGCACCTTTAGAAATACTTGCAAATCCAGACATAAGCTTCACTGGCTGATGGCAGATCATTGAGTAACTTTCTCCAAAGCAAAGACTCGGCATCTCCGAATGCAGAGGAGAAACCGCCCTTAATGGACCAGCTCAGCTATGCCTGTAATGTGTCATTAGTGGAAATCGCGCAGGATGGCCCTGCAGAAAGGCGAGTTTTTGCTGGGAGCTCTGGCCTTGACCCTTTGTACTTGGAAGGTTTACAGTCCCGATTGCAACAGTGGATTAACGTGGCACGGTGTGGTTTTGGTGGAAGAGAGGGTTATTATGTTAAGTGTTGTTTCTCTTGTATCCTGCAGTGAGATTTCTTTCTCCTGCACACACAAACACGTGCTCCAGCCAGTTATTCTAGCAAAGCCAGGCTTTAAAGGCTGGTAAATATTTAATAACATGGGCTGCTTTGGTACATACCGGCCTCCATCCTGGTTTCTTTTGCTGCTGGTGGGGGTTTCTCTACAATCCTTCCACCCTTCTTTTGGCCTTCAAAATACCTGTTCAAAACCAGAAACCTACTTTACCTATGGTTGAACCCCTCAGCTGTGTCCTTGTAAGAAGTTCTCTTCCGTGCTGTCTAGCAATGCCCGAACCATTAAGATCAAACCTGTAGACGCAACCAACCAGGTACAGCCTCTCCAACTTAGTCTTCTCGAGCGACCCGCTGAGCTGAACAGTCAGGTCAGAAATGTTTCCAGCATCCTCTTAGCAATCCCTCTCCAGCAGTTTGCTGTCCAGAGAGCTGAATTTGTGCTTGCATCTCCTCCTGATGTTTGGAGCAGCCTCTTGCACAGTCAAAATGGTGTTGACTTGACCCAAGATGGGTTTTTTTTTCCATTTTTTTTCCAGGAGAAGCATGAAGAGGAAAGCGATGTTCACGTGCCCATTCAATGGTGACTGCAAAATCACCAAGGACAACCGGCGTCACTGCCAGGCGTGTCGGCTGAAGCGCTGCGTGGACATCGGCATGATGAAAGAGTGTGAGTATGCGGACACGCATCCCGTGGGGAACGGCCCGGCTTCATGCTGTGTTGTCCTTTTTCTTCTCAATTAATGTGTTGTGCAGAAGGCAAGGCATGCGAGAGTAAAGCCTGAAAGCCCTACGAGCATTCAAAGAGGATGCAAAGGGCAGGGGATATGGTGGGTAATGATTGAAAGGAGCTCATTTAATGATTGAGGCGGTTCCGGTGGTGGTTAGCAATCTGGAGAGTTGCTTTTATCAGAGCCAAGTTGCCTTTGCTGGCTCTTGGGGACATCAGCTTAGCCAGAGCATCCGGGCTGTTTCTGATTACCTCCCGGTTACACTGACTGAGTCCCGTCATGCCTGTGCAAAGTCATGGTCCTCTCCAACGCGTTTTTGCATGCTCCTTGCTGCATCCAAACGGGGAGAGTTGAATAAGCTTCCCTACAGTGACAGTAATTTCATCAACGTGGGACTGGCTTGCATTTTGCTCTGCCATACCTCTTGGGCTTTTTTTTTTTGGGCCCTTATGCTTGCAACTTAGGTCCGTCCATCCAGCCACGTGCACAGCAGAGAGTTAAGTAAATAGCAGAGGGAAGTAAAGTAGTTTTTAACCCAATCCAAACACACTAATGTTGTCCAAATATTTATTTTCTTCAACTATATTTATAGATAAGCAGCTTTTAAAAATAAAATCTGTTTGACACACTTCCTCCTACGTACACATGCTTTCCACATCCTAAGTCTTCAGGAGAAGGCTGGTGTTCGGGTAGTGTTCAAACCAAAATAACAGCCTTCTGCTAGGAGACATTGCAAACAGGACGTCATGTCGAATGATTGATGGACCTGAAAATTTGGAAAATGGAAGTGATGCTCATTTCCTTACGTGGTGAGCAGAGAGCAACCAGCATTCGATGTCACAGAGTGCCACCAAAGCACCCGGGTCCTCCAGAAAATCGGAACTTGTAGGTGTTTGCAGAAAAAAATGCCTAACTTTCCAATTGTCCCAAAGATTGAGCAGAACCCTGATGAAGAGAAGGCCCCTGGATCATCTTCTTTCAAACTACCAGCTGTGTCCCATGAAGAGGGAGAAAAAGACCATATAACACACCATGTGTACCCATGTTTTGGGTGAGCACGTGGACGTGTGAGCCCATGGTAGCCAGTCAGTGCGGTCCGTAGCCGTTGCTAATGAGGCAAATGTGTTGACTTGCACCAGTTAATTACCCAGGAAAGAGTGGAAAATTCAGTGACAGCAATGCGTGAGATGTTTGCACCCCGGCCAGGGCCAGGTCCCAGGGATGCATGTGCTCTCTGCAGGAGTTAACTTATAAGCGACCCTGTTAGCAAACTGTTACTGGATTAACAAAACCTAACCTAAGGAGACTAAAAATAGCCTTTCTGTGGACTTTGCTGATGGTTAAATGAAGGGGAACAAGGTGTGCTGCTGTTATTTTTAGGTCAAATCAGGGATCTTGAACCTCTTGAGGGGAGTTTGTGTCTTCCCCAGGCTGTCATTGAAGGCGATGAGGAGCCCCATGGGCAAGGCTGGGCAAGTTTGACCCCGCTGCCGACGGGATCTGAGTCCGAAGCAGAAATGAGAGTGTGATACAGAGGGGGAGGAAGAGGGCAAACCCCGGCAGACCTTGTCCCTGTGTTAATTTGGGGTCTGGTGAAGGCAGACCCTTCTCCATCCCTGGAGTGTGGGGTGGTTGTATGGTCTGGATGATTTTAGACATCATCTCCAGCCCAAAACACGCAGGGCTGAGACCAGTGGCAGCATGGCCATGCCAAGGGTCGCTTCCCAACGCATGGTCCATGTTTGGGTGCAGCCGAACCTGTGGACCAGGCGTTGTGGTGATGGGCTGGAGGAACCAGTGCTTGTGAGGGAGGCACAGAAAGGCGAAGGGATCATGCGAGTTCAAACTCGTACGGCGCAAAAGCCCTGAGCCACCGGCGCTCCCTGGGGAGCTGGGGACAACGTCAGGGTGGCCACTGTCCCCTGAGGAGGGACCAGAGAGGGGAGGAGGTGGCAGCTGGAGGGCAGCTGAGGTTACAGCCATAAGGCTGGAGCAGGATTTATAGCCTTGCCGCAACGCCTGGGTTTACCCCAAGTTGTCTGCAGCCAATGTTAACAAATATTTGTGGTTTTCCGCCCGTCTTATCTGTGCAGGGTAAAGCGCAGGGCAAGCTTGCGGGGCTGTGGGGTGTGTGATCGGCAGAGGAGAAATCCACCTCACAGCCCAAGCCATGGTGTTTGGGAACGCTCCTTTCACCACCCTCGGGAGCGGTTTCCCTTCGGATGGCTACAAGGAGGGCAGGTCTCCAACCTAGGGATGCCTCCGGCTACCCTGTCTGCTTGCTGCTGGTTTCTCCTAGGATGATGCTTAGCACTAACGTACTTTAAAGAGGGGCGAAGACTCTGTTGCTGGACTATCCTGCCTGCTTTGGCACTGGTTTGGGTGGCAAGGAAATGCTGAAGTTACTCCTTCTGCCCTGCAAAATTGCCTTTTGCCAACTGCCTGGAGCTCAAGAAGGGACGTTCGTCCCTCGGGGCCACGTTGGCCAAAGCACAGGGCGTTAGATGGACCTGGGCTCCGCAGCCACCCATAACCTTTGGGTGATTCACCTCTCTTAGTGTCTCTGCACCTTCTCCCCCAGCCTTTAACAGCTCTCCAGCGTTCACAGCGTATTCACACAGGGATGGGGGACAGGTTGTCTGTCCTGGACGGTCTAAAGGTGTGGCCACAAAACAGAAAGATAAATTATGCATCACCAAATCAAGCAGCTGGAGGGACCCACGGGCTCCCCGGGGCTGCAGCAATCTCATGGCACTGAATTCATCCTCTCCCTGCCACCTTATTTGCTGCCGGGGAGGTTTTTTGTGCTTGTCGTGGTGCCAGTCAGCTGGGAATCAGTGAGTCTCCTTGGGAGGGTCCCCACAGCTGGGGCGGTTTGTCCCTCTGCAGCTGGGTCCTTGGACATCAGAGAAGGTCGTTGCAGCTAATCACCCTCCCTGGTGCTGCAGCAAGGTCTGTAGTTTGCCTGGAGTCAGCACCCCATGGATCTTCTCTCCCCTTTTCCAAGGAAAAGGCTTGCTGGCATCTGGTTGTAGTCACAGCTGATGCTCAGCATCCTCACCACGAGACTCGATTTATGATCTCAGTGCTGAAAATCCCCAAAGAGGAGGAGAAAAAAAAACAAACCGTCATCTCGGAGCCAGGGAGAGGAGCAGAAACTGGAAGGAGATTGTGCGGGAGAGGGGAATTTCCCCGGTCGGTCAGGAGAGGAGAGGAGGTGCTGAGGGGAGCAGGCAGTGCGAGGGCAGCAGTAGCCAGCAGGGTTACGGTTGTTTAGGGTGGGACTGCGGGACAAGGGTGAGCAAGGAGGGAGGTGGCCTTTCCAGCTCTCCTCCGCTTCCCCGAATAGGCGGTGATACTCAGAGCAAAAAAAGTCCCAGCTGCCCCAAACATGGAATATGTTATTCCCCAGCTTGTGAGCTGCTGCACGGCAGCGTTGTGCAATGCCGGCCTCTGGGACCCATGCTGACACCAGAGACTGGCCGAGAGGCAAAGCAGGAGGACGAGAGGGAGGCGAGAGTCGTGGCCATCCAGGAAAACGTCACTTAGCGGCGGCCGGCATTCGCAGGCTGGCTGGGAAGCGTCTCCGCTCCCCACGGGCTTGAAGGACGCGCTATAAACATCCAGCGTCCTCTGTAATTAGAGTAGGCATGGAAGCCGGCAGGCGCTGAGCATCTGGAAAGCCCTTTCCGAAATCTGTGCAAGCATCGCTTCGGTTAGTCATGTCTCAGCTGTGTCGGAGGGACACAACCTCCTTGGCGGGGGGAAGAGCAGTAGCTGGGGGCCCTGCAGCTGCTGTTGCTGCTCTGATTTGCTCCAGCAAGGGTCTGGGACCTGCGATTTAAATCGCTGCTTCTTGCCTATTGCTGCAAGCTTTCCTCCTCTCTGGTTTCTGTGCAAACCCACGTGTTGTAGGAGATGCACACTACCCAGCCAGCCCATAGCATCCCATTACCCTCCCTCCAGCCATCGCAGTGTTTGAGTTCCTGTTGTGCAATCTGGTTTTTCTGTCTGTGTCACCCCTTGTCCCATCCCTGTCTCCGTCGGCTGTGCTGCCAATTACACCTGCAGGGATTTGGCCGCCTTTAGAAAGGCTCTGTCTTCCAGTGACAAAGGCATCCCGGGGTGGTGACAGCTGGGGTTTGGGGCAGGTCAGTGGGGCCGAAAGGTGCAGTTTTGGGAGAAGCAGCAGGGATGAATTAGGCTTCGCTCCCCAGTTTTAAAGGGTGCATCCTGGGTATTTACTGCATGAACTGGTGCAGAGTGATCCTGGGCATCCTTGGCAGCTAAGTGGGGTCACAACGCCCTGCAGGGCTGCTCAGGGGATGATTCCCAACGTTGATGCATGTGCCTTGTCCCTACAGCATATTAAACGGCTTCTTTTGCTGCTTGACCCTCATCTAGCCGTGAATCACCCTAAAGCTGCTCCTGCAAGGGGTGTTTCTGCAGCCCTCACCGCAGCCGCTGTCCCAGCAAGATCCCAAATACCACCCCACCGTGATGGCTGTGCCGGGCAGGCTGTCCCAGGGTGGGGGAACAACCAGGGGCCTTTTTGCACCCCCAGGGCTGGACAGTTGTCCCTGGCTCCAGCTGGGGCAGGCAGAAGCACCCACCATTCAAGCTTCAATGAAATGCTCAAACTCCATCCAGCGAACATGCTTCATGCTTGATATTTCCTAAACTTCATTTTTGCTTTATGTTTGGCTGCTCTTTCCTCGCCTGACAGAGCGAGTCTGCCTCCGTGCTGCTCCGTATCATCCTCCAGCACTTCCAAGCCCCTGGTTTTGGCTGGGGTTGCAGGGTTGTATCCTCACCCGGCCGGCTGCGTCCTCGTGTGCTACCCTCGGTGTCGGCCGTGGCCTTCCCTGCTGCCTTGTGGTGTCTCACAAAGAGGGCCAGCATCTGTCTGGAAGCGATGGCCAGATGTTATCTCAGCCTGTGCACGGACTTTGGGTCAGGGCAGCCCACAAACGCTCAGCCACGTCGTCGGTTGTGCCAGGAGTCTGTGGCTGGATGTCTCCAGCTCAGTGTTTGGAAAGAGATCAGAGCTGGGATGTCAAGTGGAAGGTGCAGGCATCAAGCCACTTCCCGGTCTTGTATTCCCCTTGGAGGCAGGCAGGGATGTGGTGGGCAACATCCATCCCCCTGTGAGTACAACTGAGGGTCAAATCCTTTTCCTCAGATCTTTATAAAGCAGGCAAGTCACCATGCTGGCACCCCTTGTCCACGTTACCCCCGGTCCTACCGAAAAGCCGTTCCTCCGGCACAGCCAAGCAAGGTGCGTTTCAGGTTTGCTGCTCCCCAGCATTACCAGGAATGATTTCACCAGAAACGCCGGGGGTGGTTCTCAATCCGCAGCACCGATGCCGGGCTGTGTTGTGGCTTGCACAAGTACCGCTGCGTCATGGCACTGGCCTTCGCAACACCAGACAAGCTGGAAGGGAATCACAATTCTCCTTTTATCTGATTTTTTTAAACACCTGCAGGGCTTCCTTTGGGTTTTAGTCTCCTGTAGGCTCCAGCAAGTCCTATCAGAGCATTAAACACCAAACCCAGGACCTGCTGCCGTCCCTTTCTGTCAACATTGCTGGCAGTTTGGCAATGGATGCGCAGCAATGTGCAGCACTGCCGAGCTTTGGTGCAGCCAGCAGCCCTGGGACATAGTGGGAAACTGGATCCTTTGTTGCATAGACCCTGTATAGGGAACTCTTGGCTGCCTCAGGCGATAGTACTGCGGGGAACAAACCTTGCCAGCATTTGCTCCCCCGCCAAAATGATGCTTTGGGAAATCCTCTTGGTTTTCAACTCCTACCAGCGTGAGAAATGCTGCTGCCTCACTGTTTCAAATCTGTTTGAGGGCTGGATTTCTTAAAGGTGGGTGGGAAATCCCAAGTTGATTTCCCTTGCAGTCTTGCCCTAACACAGAAACATCCTTTTCTTTCCGATCTGCTCTGCAGATGCTTCCTAATTTTGGATTGATTCACTTGCAGGATCTGAGATTTGCTCGGTGTAGACATCTGCAATAATCCCTTCTGAAGCCCCGATGCTTGGGACAGGTCATGCTGGCAAAGACTTTGCACACTATGGCCACAGCCCAAGCCCTTGACTCTTTGCCCCATCCTCATTCCCAGCCCCATGTGGCTCTTTCCTCACAGATGCTGCCCCATGTCTGAACAGTTTCCCTTCTTGCATGGAGTGCCCACATGGATCCAATGCTTTTGTAATAAGAACCAGGACGGGAGAAAGCAAAACCCTAATTTTTCTCCCCAAGCAGTCATGCTGTCCCCTGCAGAGCTGGCCATAATGTGCTGATCATTGGAGCGACCTTTCGGCCTGAGCCGGTTGTTCCTGTGCCTCTGAGATCTTCAAGTCCCCTCTGAGATTGTGCAAGTTTGAAAATGCATTGGAAAAATGCCGTCAGCTAAAGGTGGCAGAGGGGAGCAGGGGCTGCAAACAGTTCCTTGCCTCGAGCCCTGCGACCGTGGCTCCCACTGCCCTTCACCAAACTCTCGTCCCAAATTCCACCTTGACTCACCCAGCATCAAATCTCTGCAGCCCAAGGCAGGCAGAAAGCCACCTTGTCATCAGATAACGTGCTTGGGTTTTCTTTAATGACTGGTTAAAGGGCTAATAACATCTTGAGGAATGGGCATTGCTATTTTTAGGACCCGCCAGTGGAGTGTATTAATGAGTGCTTTTGTGAATGTGTGACTCTGTTACAAGGATGGGGGGGGTTGCTTCCCCAAGAGATCATTGCGGCTCCCTGTTGCTTTTCTTCTCTTTCAACCCTGTGAGGCTATTCAGGTTTTTAAGCTCTTTTTATAAAAGTAAGACTTGAGCCCAAATTGCCTGTGGATGCTCCCCTTCCCTCAATAAATGGGAGAAGCCTTGCATATTGATAGCCTTTGAGTCCAACCCTTGGCTGCTGCTGAAGGCTGTCACCCATAATACAAGCCGTAAACACCCACCCTGGGAGTGGGGTTATGTTTATATGTCCCATTAACTTAAAAATACTTGCGATGCTGCAGAAGCGTTGCTGGATACCCAGACTATTGCTGCTACAGCCGGACGAGGAGGCTGAGCGATGCCGCATTGGGCTCCCTCTGTTGTCAGGCACTGACAGCAGCGCTGGAGTGAGATGAACCCGCTGGCTTGAGTCTTGCAGGATCAAGATTTCTTTCACCTGACAGCACCGAGCAAACAGCAAGGTCGCAGTGCAGAGCAGACATATGGCAGCGCTGACGTGACCTTATTGCACCTGGTCCTTGCTTAACAGCACCCAAGTGGGCTATAAACTGTCCAGGTCTCGTAGCGGGAAGCCGTGACCCCACAGTCGAGGACAGGAGCAGGATGGGGTTGATGCGTGTTTAATAATTGATTAGCAAGGTGATGGGGACGCTGGCTGTAGCAGCCTGGGGTTGCTTCAGTCCCTGTTTCCCTGCAGCTCTTTCTGATGCTTTCCCTGTCCCTGCAGTCATCCTGACGGACGAGGAGGTTCAGAGGAAGCGTGAGATGATATTGAAGCGCAAGGAGGAGGAGGCACTCAAGGAGAGCCTGAAGCCCAAACTCTCGGAGGAGCAGCAGAAAGTCATTGACATCCTCCTTGAGGCTCATCGCAAAACCTATGACCCCACGTACGCTGACTTCACCAAGTTTCGGGTACGTCTGGGGCACGCAAACCCCAATTCCCGTGCACAGGACCAAGCATTTCCTGCCCAGATGCACCAAACCCATTTCATCCCACCACTTCTCATTAGAGAGGAGTTAAAAATCCCAGTGCAAAAACCTTGATGCTGTTGGCAGCAGGCGAACGCCTGCCACCAAATTGCTCTCCCAGCCCTGTTCCTCATGTCCTGCTCTCTCTTCCAGCCCCCCGTGAGAAGCAACCCCAGCAACAGGGGGGCAGCAAGGTCCTCCTCCATCCTCACCCAGGACTTGTCGTCGGAGGACTCCAGTGACCTTTTTGGCTCCGATGCCTTCAGCACGTTTCCAGGTACCTCGCTCGTCTCTCCATAGGTGAGGGGGGTAGAGGTGCAGCAGCTTCACCTCAGTCTGGCCATTCAGACCTTTGTTTTACCTCTTCTGGGGAGCTTATTTAACTGTAAGACCCTCCTGGGGCTGTTGCAAAGGCTTTTTGTGAGCAAAAAGTGTTAAGTGCTTGGCTGGATCATGGCCCTGCAGACCTCCGTGTCTGAGCCCTCCAGGATGGCCAAGAGGAGTGTGAACGTGGACGCTGCGCTGCGTCGTCACTGCTCTGGCTGCAGTTAGACTCGATCACAGCACAGGAGAGGAGTTAAAGGCCCCAGTGCAAAAAACTTTATGCTGTTGGCAGCCAGCAAATGACTGCTCTCAGCCCTGTTCCTCATGTCCTGCTGCCTAAATGCAATGCAAAGCCCTCCTGGCAGGATGGATGCCATTCCTGCTGCGGGCTGGCATCGTTCCCCTCACCCGTAATGTCTTGCCTACAACTGAGGTACCCTCTGACCATCTCCCTCTCTCCAGAGTCTGTGGAGCCCCAGATGTTTTCAAACCTGGTCCTCTCCGAGGAGAATGACGAGAGCTCCTCCATGAACATCGACCTCTCCCACCTCTCCATGCTCCCGCACTTGGCCGACCTGGTCAGCTACAGCATACAGAAGGTGATTGGCTTTGCCAAAATGATCCCAGGATTCAGGTGAGACGTTTGATCCCAGATCCGATGTCCATGGCGGTTTTCCACTCTCAGGAATCCCGTCCTATCCTTCACAGCCAGACCATTTTTCTCTGTTTCATCTTCACAGCTGTCCCTTGGGCTCTGTTCCCTTCCCAGGTCTGTTCCTACTTTCACGTTTTCTGTCTCTCCTCCTTCCTGGGGTTACTCCTCTCCTATCTACCTTGATTCACCTAGACTCTGTCAGCAAAATGCTTGAGCTCCTAAGCTGCTTGAGGCCATGTGAGCAGTCCCCATTCTGGTTTTTGAAGGACCTCAGGTCCTGTTTAACTCCACGCTCGTGCCCGGGGTGCTGGGTGGTGCCACTCAATAAAAGTAGCTGCAGAAATACCTGCTGCTTAATCACCAAGAAACCTGGGGTGAGGGAGAAGCTGGGGTGTCCCCAGCAAAGGGACTGGGTTACCGATGGAGAACCTGGCACATGGGTGGCAGGTTTCTGCTCCTTTGCTCACTGGACATGTCTCACATCACCCTTTTCCCCCTGCCCAGGGACCTGGCAGCAGAGGACCAGATTGTCCTGCTGAAATCCAGCGCCATCGAGGTGATCATGCTGCGCTCGAACCAGTCCTTCACCCTCGAGGACATGACGTGGACCTGCGGCAGCAATGACTTCAAGTACAGGATCAGCGATGTCACCCAAGGTAAAGGCTGCCAGACACTCTCCTGCTTGCTGTGGGCTAAGAATGTCATCCCAGCCTTAAACTCAGATGCAAAAATCCCAGACTGAGTAGTCAGCAAGCAGGGACGTGTTGCCAGGCGGCACGGCTGCGGTACACGGCAGCACCAGCACCTTGGTGGTGTCACGGCTGGGCTGAGACACCCGTCCCGGCATCAGCCGTGTTCTCTCATCTCCCGAGCCCTGCGCTGCGGGACACGTGTGCATGCCGCAGCCATGCCGGATGGCTGGAAAGAGCCGTTAACTCCTGAAGAAAAGCAAAGCCAGGGCATGGCTGTAGCTCAGAGCTGTCTTCAAGTCCTCTGCCGTGCATCAGGGGTTGAGTTCCGATTGCTCCGAGCTCCAGTGAGGGCTGGAAAGCTGCTGTGCCTTCTCACCGCTGCTGCTCTGCAGCCAGGAAGCCTTTCTGCTAGGAAAGGTGGTGAATCCTGCCCTAAAACTCCCCCACTTTTAGACTTGGGGACCAGCACAGAGAACAGGGTGCGCAGATGATACATATGGACCTTAAATCTCTCCCTGCGCTTGGAAGAGCCTTAGAGTAACCTGGGGTTGCCAAGATCCTTAGTGCAAGGGCAGAGATCCCCCAGCGCGATCCCAGGGAAACCAGGCAGAGCAAGGAGCGCGTGGGGACCAGGCGTGGGGCAGCTGGCACCCACGGAGCGCAGGAAAGAGAGCTGCTTGCAGGGAGGGCTCTGGGCACACCAGGTGGGGTTTGTGATGCTTGTGCAGGACACAGTGCAGTGTGGAAGTGGTGATAAGGAGGCAAAACATTTGTAGGTTAATTGTCTTTGTGGATTTCAAAAGCAAAATCTGCTCCATGATCTCCTGCTTCAGAGAAACTACTAGGGAGAAAAGTACAATTAAAAACCAACATGCTTTAAGCTATATCGAAAGTCCTCTTCCACTGTCCCGGCTCTCTGCTGTGCTGAAAGAGGAGCTGCCGAGCTCCACGCTTGTCCCTCAGCTGTGGGAGATCTTGTTCCAGAACAGGCTGTGCTAAAGGTCCTTTCTCTTCCCAGCCGGCCACAGCATGGACCTGCTTGAGCCGCTCGTGAAATTCCAGGTTGGCTTGAAGAAGCTGAACCTTCACGAAGAAGAGCACGTGCTCCTCATGGCCATCTGCATCCTGTCCCCAGGTGAGAGCACACTCATGCTGCAGGGTCGCTAACCTGCCAGGTTTTGGCTGTGTCCCCAAAAATTCACCCTTCCCTGCCTCTCTATTGAGGCCAGCTGGGAAAAGGGAAGGGAGTCACCCTGCACCCGTGGTGTTTCTTAGATCGCCCAGGCGTGCAGGACACCTCGCTGGTGGAATCCCTCCAGGATCGTCTCTCGGAGATCCTCCAGACCTACATCCGCTGCAGGCACCCTCCTCCCGGCAGCCGCCTGCTCTACGCCAAGATGATCCAGAAGCTGGCTGACCTACGGAGCCTGAACGAGGAGCACTCCAAGCAGTACCGCTGCCTCTCCTTCCAGCCCGAGCACAGCATGCAGCTCACGCCGCTGGTGCTCGAGGTCTTCGGCAACGAGATCTCCTGACTCCGGCCGTGGGGCTGAGCACCCACCAGTAAAGGGATAAGTCAGCCTGGCTTCCCCGAGGCAGCGAGCGGAGAGACGTGACGCTGGGCAGGAGTTTTGTACATAGACGGTTTGGTTTCACACTACTGGAGGTCCTGCTTTGTCTTCTCATCCACGGCGGCCAAGGTTTGCTCGCTGCGGAGCAGTGACAGACCCAGATCCGTGTGGTTTCCCCCCAGTCCGTGAGCAGCCTTTCTGCTTCCCTGCCATCTGCGAGAGCTGACTTATCCCTTTATGGATGCTTTTGAGGCTGGGCTGCCTCGAATCACTTCTTTCTTGACCCGAAAAACTGGGCTGCTTGGAAGGAGAAGCGCTGGGGTGTTTTGGCGTGGGGAGGCGGACTCACGGCGTTGCTGAACCCTCAGCAATGTCCTCTGCTCCCCTCCTAAAATCTGCAGCGCTCAATCCCCCCCTTTCAAAAAGGGAGACGCCGACTGAATTGCACACCCCGAAGCCCTGCCGGGAAATGCCGTGGGCCGTGTTCCCACGCGCGTGACCAGCTAAAACCACTCCGTGAGCCCCTGCGAGACTGGGACCAGACCAGAGACGTCCATGTCAGCCCGAGAGTGGACATTTGTCCTCGGCCCTCAAAGGAAACAGCCGGACGAGCTGTAATTTGCGTTCCCGACACTACTGCCTGGCTTTGGGGGAGCAGGGTTATCTCGAGGTGACACCATGCTCTCGGAGCTGAACCCCTTTTCCTGCGGTTCTCGGGCACGACCCCCGCAACCCGTGACGGCGTCGCGGTAACGACCGCCGTCCCAGTTCGGCTTCGGCACCTTGCGGCGTCCCGTGCCACGCTGGAACCGGGTGCCGGAGGCTGCTCGGTGCCACCGTCCCCGCTCGGTGCCGGCGGAGCAGCCCCCCCGGGGAGGGGGGGGGTCCTGGGTGTGTGTGTCCCCCAGCCCCACTCTGGGCCCTGCACCGTGTCTGGGAAGGGGCCCAGCTCGCTGCCGGGTGCTGCTCCTCCTCGCAAATAAACTCTTGCTTGGGAACGGCGCCTGGGCTCGTTTTTTTTTTTTTTGGGGGGGGGGGGGGG